ATTGGACGGATTGGAAATCGAAAGCTTTGCATATGACCGATCGACGAAATATTACAGCAAAAAAAGAAATAATGACCAATCTAGATGGCTTGATGGATATCAAAGTGATAACGGTAAGAAAAATATTACTTACGTATTTATAAATGTCGCATGACATAAACATTTACATATCAACAGGTCAACAAAACGCAACCGGAAAATGTTTGCGGCACCAACAATGGTGGCTGTTCGCACCTTTGTCTGCGCAATCCAACGGGCTATTCTTGCAGATGTCCTATCGGCCTCAAACTGAAAGAAGGCAGCACCAATCAGTGTCAGACCTTGCCAGATGTAAGTTTCTCTTTCTTGTACAGCAAAACTGCTTTTCTAATTTTCCATACATCTTTACACGCAGGAGTACCTACTCATTGCACAACGCTCTGGCATCGGCATGATCTCGCTTAATATGCCCGATTACATGGACGTGGTATTGCCCATAAATGCTGTACATGGCGCCGTTGTGCTCGACTACCATTTCCGCAAGAAGTTGCTTTACTTCGCGGACGTCAATACAGATGTAATTAGACGCGTTGATCTCACAAATCTCTCTGACAGCAAGGCTATTGTAAATAAAGAACTGTTGACACCGAATGGCATTGCAGTCGACTGGATTGCAGATAATCTTTACTGGTCCGACACAGATCGGAAAGTTATTGAAGTTGCGCGTTTGGATGGCAGTTGCCGCAAAGAACTCATCTCCGAAGATTTGGGTGATCCACGCTCGCTGATCCTGCACCCACGCAAAGGGTTTGTTTAGCTGCAGCATTTGCGTTTCAAAGGATTTGTCATTGCATATTTTTTCAGGTATCTCTTCTGGTCTGACTGGGATGCACCGGCGCGCATAGAACGTAGCTTGTTGGACGGCTCTAATCGCAGCATTATTGTAACCGACAATTTAGGTTTCCCCACCGGACTGACGCTGGACTTTGAGTGAGTTTCGACGCGTAATTAGTGAGAAAAAAATTTCCATTTAAATTTCTTCACTTTTCACAGTAACCGCCGCCTACTTTGGGCCGATGCGTTGGAAGACAATATTGCCTCGGTCGATTTCAATGGCAAGCGCCGCACAAAAATTGTGGACTATGCACCGCATCCATTTGGTCTGACAATGGTTAGCAAGATGCCGACTAATTTACTAATTATTTTCTCTTGTCGACCCCCAATTCGCTCTTATTAACTATATTTTTCTTATCCTTCTGCCCACTCTCTAACAGTTCGATAACAGCATTTACTGGACCGACTGGTACAACA